AAAATATGCAATATTCACAAACATAAATTATAAGAAATGGCCAAATGGTAACGATATTCAATCACGACAAAAAATACATGTTTGAAACAACAGATTTAATTTTATATACACAATTTACAATTTCTTTGTAATGATGTGTGCAAAAGTATATTTAAGAAAAAAGTTCTTTGCTGTTTCGGAAATGTTCAATGTCTAAAAAGTTGTTTGCCTTTGATTAAAAAAAAGTTGAATTTAACTTAGACAAAAGATTTTTCTCTTTAGGAAAGATATCACGTGAAAAAGTTTGTTGTATAAATTTTTCTAATCTCTCATAAAGGAAGTTTGTTTTTTCGGCATCTCTCTGAAGCATAATTCCCGTGTATATCTTTTGCTTGTGTGAGTCTCAATTGCGACGAAAATTCGTTTGCCATTTCTATTTATAGTTTTTAAACGACCAAATGGCTCAACGTGCTTGGTAGCAATTGCGAATTTTTTCTGAGAAATGCGTGGGTGAATGTTGTATTTTTTTTTTTTTTTTTTTTTTTTTTTAGCCAATAGGATTTCTTGAAGCATTTAAATTAGCCTTTGAGAAAGATTTTTTTTACGTCGGCTGAGCCTACTTTTGCACAAAATTTGATTGGCTAAAAATTATCTATAGTGTATATATATGTCTGAAATCGTCCTCGACTGCAAAGCAGAAGAATTATCCACGGGGGGTAACTCTTTGTTTATAATTATAAAATTAAGAAGAATATACACTGCAAGCTGATAAGAATTTGGCGAATATTTTTTTTTTTTTTTTATATCGGTCTTATCTGATCTGATTTATATGCGAATATTTTTCCGTCTGTATAACTTTTTGAATGTTAATGACTCTTCTCAAAACTATAGAAAATGCCAAAATATTTGTTGTTTGCGGAGATGTTTATATCTTATGTAGGAATGTGATCCAATTGTTCGCATTTAACCTCCAGCAAGCAACACTATCTCGCCTGGAAATTTGTAAAAGACCTCTCCGGCAAAAATTTTGGCTCCACCATAAGAATCAAGGGAGGATACGCCAAGAAATATCTCGAAAACTGGTCAAATCATCTCAAGAATGTATTGGTTAATAAGCGAAGTTTCCTGAGAACTGTACATTCCCAAGTGTGCAAATCTCGGATCCTTTAGAGATTGACACCGCTACATTCTTGATCTGTGAGCTTAAAGCAAACAACTCAAAGGTTTTAAGGCATTTGGTCCGGACATCATCCTATCCTTTATCTGGAAAGATGAGCATTTTCAACAGCTCCTACACAATTTTTGAAACCACACCTTCTCAACATTCAAAAGGTTCGAAACATTTAGCATAAATCACAGATCATTTCTATGCCAAAAAAGGGAGACCTCTCTCTAGCAGCCAGCCATAGAGGAAGCTCATTTATGCTAAAGGTGTACAATAAATTCATCCTCAATCACTTGGTACCCTTCGTTGAGCCTGTACTCCGGAACAACCAAAATGGCTTCAGACGTGACAGATCTACACTAAGACAAATCCTGTGTCTGCGCAGACTTACTGAGGAATCCGAACTGAGCCAAGCTAGACCTTGCATTGGTTTTCGTTGACTTCCCTAAAGTTTTTGAAAAACTATGAAGAGTATGGCGCGATCTGCATGCAATGTTATGCACACGATCTGGACATCACAACTTAACAGAAAAGTCAAGATCAAAATATTCAGAGGCGCTGTTGAGCCGATTCTGCTCTATGGTTCAGAGACATGGACACTCTGTAAAGGCATGGAGAAACGCCCAGATGGAACCTACATCCATCTTCTGATGAGAGCTCAAAGCCTCTCTTGGAAACGCCATCTGACCAGCAAATCTATAGCAGTCTTCCCTGTGTTTCCTCTCTCATACTAACTTTGTCGAGTACGGTTTGCTGGCCACTGATACCGTACCAATAATCAGGATGTTTCCTCTCTCCTACTCTGGAAGTTTGCGTCAAACCTGACCTAGGGGCAGAAAACTAACATTCCTTGATATCATCTCAAGGGATGCAGGACTTGGGAGACAGGACTTGGGGAGAGCAATGAAGGATGGGAAAGTCTGGCATAATGTTGTGGACTCCATGATCCCAACTGCGGTCGACACATGATGATAATAGCCTTCTGTTTTGTTTTTTATTTATTTTAAAATAAATACAGATTCTTTGAAGATCTCCTTCAAAAATTTATTTTCGGATATCCAATGTTGAACTACATTTTTAATACTCAAAATCCTATTTCGCCCACCAGAATTTCCAATCGACCACCATTTTCTGTTCAGCTGCTCATCGTCCACCTAACCCTGGGTTATACGGACGAGGTATCTCCATATTTACAAGAAGGTTGTTAAAGTATATTGAGTTTAAAACACTTCTAACTGGCAATAAGTATAACGTGACATAAATTTAAACGCATTATTTTATCTTGTAAAAGGAACAAACATATATTTTGGGAATTGATTTAACTTTTCCTTTGTCGGCATCCATCAAATTCACCAATCGACTGGGTGGAAGTGGAGTCTGTAATTTTCTTTTTTAATTTTTTAAATATATAAATATATAAAAACTTTATTTAAGGACGTAAAATGATTTTTATTTTATTTTTTACAGATTATTATCTTTCAAATAAAATCAAAATTTAATTTCAGAGAAAACATCCAGATGTTTCTCCATGCCTATAGAGAGTGTCCATGTCTCTGAGCCATGGAATAGAATCGGCTCAACAGTGGCTCTGAATGTTTTAATCTTGAATTTTCTGTCCAGTTGTGATGTCCAGATCTTGTGCATATCATTTAAATTATTTAAAATGCGTATTTTAACTTTTTTTTTAGAAAGTCTGTGGGGATACCTACCGTAATTCTGCCGTTAATGTCCAAGATCCACTGGCCTATAGGAAGACTAGGAAAGCTAACAAACTCAAAAGTCAGATGTTTCAGAGAGTTCAATGATAGTTATTGAAAGAAAATGTAGGTCAGCTTGACTTCGCGAAATATACGTTAGGTGGCGATGTTTAAGTCTATGAAAGAGCAAACATTTCCTTCCTCTATCTTTTCGTCCTCTGGCTGCAAGATGTAGCAGTACGTAGATGAGGACGTCCCCACTCGTACGCGTCCGTTTTCTCCGTTCACACACACACACGCAAACAAACACATTCTTAATAGCTAAGTTTTAATGTCTTTTCCTTTCAATTGTTTACACAATAATGAAATTTCTTTTGTATATACATGCATGTCATTGTCGTTTGTTTAAATTCCATGTTTTTGTTACTTCTTTTTACCCGGACTCACAATAGTTTAAATTTAAGGAATGTTCTTATGATAGTATCAGTAGAAAAGAGAAAATGAATGTGGTTGAACTTGTTGGGTTCCGTCTACCCAAGTTTATGTTGCTGAGTGTCGGGATTCCAAACATTTAACAACACCTCATTTAAATGAAACACATAACATGTTATTTTCTAGCAGAAGCAGAACGTCAGTTGAAATAACATTTATATATTTTTTACGGAAACATATAACACAATAAAATGTTAAATTTTCCTTGAAGTGAAATTTGTTTTCTAAAGTAATTAAGTGTTCTTATTGCAGTGTAAAATATGTGGACAGACATACTTTATGAGAGTCAGACTAATCTGTTTGTGAGTTCGTAAACAAAAAGCTAAGACGGTGGTTGGTGGTTAATCTCTTCTCTTTTGTGCGTGGACAAGGCCTTAGTCGGCGGCTGTTGGCTATCTCTCTCCCATTGTGTATGTGTGTGTGGATGCGCGTACGCACGTGTAGCTCAAACCGGTCCCCAAACTGGTTTTGAGCCTCGAGAAGAAGTATGCCTCTATTTTTATACACGTAAGAGAATTCAAAATGTAATTTCACATAGAAGTGTAAACTTTTTGAATACTAGATTTTCATTGGTTAGAAAATAATTTCACACTGGCTCGTGGAAATCTTTTTCTCGAATTTGCGTGAGTAGTGAAAGGAGTTATTATTGTTGTTATCTAAATGGTTCAAGAATAACTCGCGTGGTTGGTTTGCAACTGTGTTATACAACAGCGATATTTGCGGTTGAAGTGATTGTTTATCAAACAAACCTTCTGATGGGATTTTATTGCTTGAAAAATATATGAGATTTAATTTTTATAAAGTAACTTTGTTATGGAATAAACCAGTGACTGAAGAGTCCATAACATGCGTCTCTGATGGGAGCACAGAGATTCACGTCCTGTCTCATTCGCAGCGGTATAGGGAAGAAAATCTAGTCTCCTGAAATTTTTACTACGCATACGTAGTTGACAAGGGGTTCGCTTCTGCGCATCTTCTGCGCATCTAGTGCATTTGGGTGTAGTGTCTGTGACAGAATAGATTGCTTAGTTTTCTCAGATATAGAACAGAAGTTTAGCAAATTTATGCTGATCGAAATCCAGCCCACAAGCAATGTGACACCGACCCTAGGACACAGAGGGTTACAAGGAGTGAAAGAAAATGAAAAAACTTTAGCAATTCGGGTTGAGGAAGGGACAGTGAAGGAACTAAATTCAGAAAGATAGAAGATGGCGATTGATGTTGTATTTAAATGTTTTGAAGATTGTAGTTATCAGGGAAGCAAAGAAACGAATGGAGTTCCACAGACAAGAAGTGCAAAAAAAAAATATATATATTTGAATGTCACTACCGTTTACATCTAGCTATTTAAAAAATAAAACGATGAAACTTAATCGCCAATCTAGTTGCACGCTTAAATTCATGCAGTTAAGACACTACGGATAAAATGCTTATCAGAACAGTTGGAGAGAAAATATTTGACAGGGGGAAGCCATGTAACGTCGGTGAGGAAGTGACTGAAGTCGAGATGCCAGGGCATGGTCAATTACATTAAAGACCCTTCTTTGGATTTTATCAAGAATCTCGAAATATATCGCCGATATAAAGAGAATTGCAGATACACTTTTCTTTTCGTTCCTATGTATAACCCCAAAATTAATTTAGAAATAACTGAACTCTATTACGACTTACGGCCATATCACGTTGAAATACCGATTCCCGTCAGATCACTAAAGTTAAGTAACGTCAAACCTGGTAAGTACCTAGATGAGTGATCTGTTTGGAATACCAAGTACTGTAAGATGTACGAGATTTGAGTGGCGTAATGGAAGATGAACTCGACTAGAATTCAAACCCGACACTCCAATTTCCAATTCCGAGCCGTTATACAGGGGTATTGAAAAGTAACTCCCTATTTTACGTATGATGGACTCTCCTGTCTAACTATAATTTTTACAAGACGGAAGAGTCCATCATACATAAAGTAGGAAGTTACTTTTCAATCACCCTGTATTGTTTAGAATTAATTAAGCAAAAAATAAACCGAATGTGAATTAATTTTTTATTATACCGGGAACTTTTAGCATAGGCAGTATTCAGGATATTTTCTGAAAGAGTAAGTAAAGCTAGGTAGGTCCCCGTAAGAAGAAATGAATAGTTGAACTTTGCTGAGTGACTCAATGAATAAGTGAGTGAGTGTACTGTTGCCCCCAAAGGACTAATAATTCCTGCGCTATGGTTCCGTTTTCTTTTCTTTCTTTTTTTTATTCCTTGATGCATGACCATGAAAACGGGATTTTAAACTCATTCACATTTGGCTAAATAGGACAGAATGTAAGATTTTCTAAGGGGGATGTAACTGTAGCAATTACTTGACGAATATAACGAGAACGTTTTTTATACAATTTTTAAATATCCACTTATATTTAAAATTTAGGAAACTAGTTTATGTAACCAAATATTTTATTGAATTTTAGGTACTGAGGTATTATAGTTTTACTCACGAAGTCGCTTGGAAAGGAAATGTTAGAAAATTACCAATAAATTTTAAATTTACTATTGTTACCACTCTTGTTTTTTGATAATGTTGATAATGTTGTGTATGGACATCCATATTTGCAAACGTCGGTAAGTTTATACATACACGCACAAAAAATACTTTTAAAATACTGGGGTGGCTTTTCAATTTATTACTAAATATAAATAGTTGCATTTACTGCAAAGAAAGTAGGGTTAATGTGTCGTGCCAGAAAGTTTGTCTCGTCAGAATCCATCTTGCACATTTAAAAATCTACCATTTGCCCGTGCATTGAATAATACTACCATATCTTGTCTGTTTATCCTGTTATTCATCTTGAGGTTCTTGACAAAATCCAAAGGATTTTAGTCACTTTCTCACCAACGTGTCGTAGTTTTTTCTGTCTTTTCTACAAATATTTTCATGGCAATTGCTCTGACAAGCTTCCCCTCCACCTGGAGCCCCAACATAAATTTAAGCGTGCGACTAGATTGGCAACTAGGTCCCACCCATTTAGTATCGAAATATCTAAGTCCAACCGCCAATTCTACTCCAACAGTTTTTCTTTTCTCGCACTTCCCATGTATCGAAATCCTTTCCGTTTTCTTGCTTCCCTGATAACTACAATCTTCAAAAATTCAAATGCAACGTCAATCGCCATCTTCTATCTTCTTGAATCCCGTTTATCTTTTGTCTTTTTCTCAATCCTCTCTATACTTAGTCTATAACCCGTTGCCCCGGGGTCGATTCTGTGTTTTACCTTCTCGGCCAATCCCACGCCATGTGGTCACCGTCGTGGTCCAACTGGTGTTAGTTGCTGTCCTCTTCGCCCGGCCAACGTAGTGTTCTTGATCACATGGCTGGTGGAATCGATTAACGGCAGTGATCAATGTGTTGAGTCAAATCTCGGCGAATGTTGAAAAAAATAAGTGTCTTTTTGCAAAATTCATGCAAACGAAAACAGAGACTTGGAATAACTTTCGATTTGGTATTATGCAGTTTCTTGGTGTACAAAAATGAACCCTTCCCACTACGGTCTCTTCAGTGACACTTCCGTCCATTGGTGCTAATTTCTTAGAACAGGTTGCAAAGTCGGAAATTCTGTTGGCATTAGGTCACTTGGGTTTCTGCAGCTCCTCCTCCTGTCTGATTTCATCGGCGTCTCTGACCAAAGTCCGTAACTCTCTTGGTCGCTCCAAGCTCTGCTTATATTGTCTCTTGCTCAAGACAGGCATGGGAGCTGACGTGCTTGGGGACTCGGGGTTTCCCCTGTTTTCCAAGAGTTCTTTGTTGTCTGATTTGTAAAATTATCTCTCCAAATTTGGGAGATCTCTCTTTGTTGTAGAGTACGAATGTTTTTCTTCCTCCGTATGAATCCGAATACCTCGTCGCCAAGTGTTGTAGAGTAGTTTCACAGTGGAGGCTTGTAATTGTACTAAGTCGGTCCTAAAATAGGTTCGACGTACAAAACGTTAGGAACTTGATATAATAAGTAATGACGCAGAGAAATCAAGTGGTTGTCGCTGATACTTTTAGTATCCGACTAATGGTCGTCCGACATCGACTGACTGACCAATTCGCTGAGCGACTGCTACTACTCCTACTTATTATAGGTGGGAGAGTCTATTAACAATAGAATAGGTGTGTTCCACTATAACACTCTTCCAATGGGCAGCGGTTGCAGGTGTTGGACCGCCCATATAACTCATACCTTTCATTTATGCCTTGCATATTTATTTCCAAATGGGCGTAAGCAATTCTTCTGTCCCTCTTGGTCTCTTACCTAGGCCCTTCACTTCGATTGTCATTTTGAGAAATAAGATTTTTAAATTGCGTAGGCAAAATGGCCTCGCCTAACTTTTAATCATTAGCTGCAATTATCGTTTTTATTTTCGTCATCAAGTTTTCTCAGCCTAGGGTATTGTTTTCATAATCAGAAATTTACCAGCTGTTTCCTTTGACAGCTGTTTAGTAAGTATTGGCTTGTATATTTTGTTCGCTTAGCCATACTTATGACCCGTGAGTTTGGTTCTTATGTAAAGAAATCTTATTTATACAATTTTCGACAGGTGAAATAAACCAGTTTCTTAACTTTGCCTTCGTCTTCGAAAATTACCGACGCCGTTTTCGTAACCTGTACTTTAGTAAGCGGCCATAAATTAATTTCTCTATTTCTGCCTTGCTTAGCAAGATTCTTGGCTGACTTCGAATGCACTTCTACCATTTCTCCTCCGCCCACCCTTGTGGGTTTAAATTTTCCATATGGCCTTTTCGTTTATATTTTCTTCAGAGCAATAAAAGCCATTTTATTTAAATCATTTCCATTTCGTTTCGGTTTATGTCATTCCGTATAACCCTTTTCGTCTGTTCCAAGTTACATTTTTATTTTAACTCTTTCTTTCGATTTACCGTTGTCTTTTCTTTCACTTTCATTACCTACCTGTTAACACGCCACGTGCTACTGGGATTTTAAAGTAATTAAAAAAAAAACAAAAAAGACATTCCATTTACAAAGAAGATGCAGAAAATCCACTGAAAGATTTATTGGCGTCCAACCCTTTAGTTTTATTGTAAAAACATAAATAACCTTGGAACTCGATGGCAGAAATGGGCAGGGTTCCTATTTTGAGTTAAAAGCTGATTCTAAAATCAGGTATTATTTTCCCAACAACCTAATAGCTAAAAGATAAATGAAAGATCAAAGGATTTACATTTTGCAGACACACTGCTCCTCAGTGTCAGACAAATCTATTGAATTCATTAACAGATATACTGAATTTAAATTTGCTATTTAAAAATTACAGCATATATATATATATAATATAATATCCCATAAGACATATATATATAATATCCCATAAATACAGCACACCTTAAAACTATACTTCTTCATAAATATATATATATATATATATGAAGAATTATAAAAAGAAGGTATATATATCGTATAAAGTGCTCATTATCAGAGATAGAGCATATATAAAAATAAAAGTGAACATTGAATTCAACACTCAGAGGCGACAGGCTGTTTCATGCTAGACGCAATGGCCTGACGATTGCGTCTAGCATAAAACAGCCTGTCGCCTCTGAGTGTTGACTTCAATGTTCATTTTTATATATATCTTCATTTATTATGCACTGTTACATTAGAACATATACATACCCACTACAAAACTGTACATCTTGTTTCAACGTTAAAAATTAGTAACAATTCATCAGGTGGGAAATCTTAGCAGCATTGTGATTTCCCATCTGATGAACGTTAATAATTTTTTAACATTGAAACAAGATGTAGTTTTGTAATGGGTATGTACATGACCTAATGTAACAGTGCATAATAAATATTTATTGCTCTACTTTTGTACTGAGCCCCGTTTTAAATTAATGTTTTGAATGCTAAAATCGTTCTTTTACATTTGGATATATATATATATGTATGGGACAGGGAATATATGAAAAATTAAAAAAATTTTCATGTGATGTATTTCTCCCTTTAGGACTACATCAAACTAAAGTGATGTTTACGTTAATGTGACAACACATGCACACAAAGGGGAGGGACACTAAGAAATTTAAATTTAATTTTTTTTAAATATGTTTTGGGTATATAGTCTAGCTCATTTCATTTAGTTTCTATTTGTTCATATTTCCATCACTTTCGTTATTAATTATCTGACATTGAAATCTTATAAAATTTCACCTTTTTGGCAGATATTCTAAGAACTTAAACCCAAATTTACTGTGAACTCTATCAACGGCTGAAATGTGAAGACTGGGCAGTTCTCACAAAAATATGACAACAGTACTCAATTCTTGGCCTGAACCGGCTCTTGTAAAGCTAGGGGAGAGCTTGTGTAGTCAGCCACTTTCTGGAACAGTGCAGGGAGTCAGCCATTTTACCTGCACCTTTAATGATGGATCATATGTACAATTTCCACTTCAGGTGCGAGTTTGAGGTCCAACAGTCTTTCAAGGCACAGTGCTTCCTCATGAGAACCTCTGTTTATCCTGATTGGTGGTAGTTCAGGGTCAGACCGATGATGATGGAATGTAACTAGCTTGCTCTTTGATACATTGAATGTAACTAAGCAGTTTTTACACCACTGGGTAGCTTGTGTAAGATCGAAGGAGAGATCAGTCAATAATCTCTGCCCATCAAGAGTTTTAAAGGTGCGGTCATATATAGTCATATCAGTGAAATAGATGTTTAGAAATGATCTTAGTATATTCTTAGGCAGATCCTTTATGTAGACGATAGGATGAGGAGTCAGGTACTTAATGGA